CTTCATAATAATGAATTATTTGATATTCATCATCAATAAGATAAATATATCATGAAGAAAATTTTTTTTTTCGACTGAACCCATATAACGTATTTGAAGTGTTAAACTAACACGTGGACTTTGCCATTGACATTACTCACCAAAATAACTTGGCGAACATAAACATTTCTTTTTATATGATTTACCTTCAAATATAACAATACCACGATTACAATATTCGATTAAATCAATACTAGTATTTAATGCTAAGATTTTGTTTTTTTTTTGACATGAATATGTTGACGAGGAGATGGTGCTGATGTTATATTGATTGTTGGTGGTAAATATCCAATATTGAATATAAAAAGAAAATGAATAAGTCGAGGAAGAACAAAACCATTTTTTAACAAACATAATGATTCATTATTATGTATATTCAATATTAATTTGTCACAGGTAAAACGCCCTGGTCCCTTGACATAATTGTATACTGAATGTTGAGTATTAGTTAATTGTTGACCACAATTATCGTTATATCTCTTAAACAAGTTTTTTTTCCATGACAAATATTCATTCTCTTCATTAGTTAAATTAGTAGAATAAAATAATTTTTGACAAATGATTTCATCAGAATTATCACTGCTACAATTGATCGGTTTTTCGTAAATATGAGCTTGATGAATACATCGAGAATTGGCAGGATTGTTAACATCACATTTTAATTCATTAACACTACAGTTCGTATTAGGGCAGCTCATTTCATCAATACCATTGACACATTGAAAAATAGTATCACATCGAGTATATGGATTATAATATGGTCACCACTCATAATTCGATTCGTCATTTTTATCGTCGTCATAGATACCATCAAAAATGTCATCACATAAAAGTGCAAATGTAGACGATAGAAATTCATTGATAAGTGAATCTTGATTACTTATGCAATCAGATGATAAACATTTTTTTTTGATTCATATGGAAAACGTTGAGAATTATTTAATAAGCAATTATCTGGATATGTTTCATCGTCGCTATGATAACAATCAGGAATACTATCGAAAAGGCGATATTTAGAAACATACGTATGAGATAATTCACAGTAAAATAAAGAGGAATTTGATGTATATTCGTTAATATTTCCTATCAACGCACAAACATTGTCAAGCAAATTAAGTGCAGAATATAAATAGAATAAATGTGACATGTGGAATTCTTCAACGACTGGTTCAAATGTGCGACAATCTAAACGTCCTATTTGAAGTGTTATTTTTAGTAGATGTAGACATTGTCCGGGATCATTGCAGATATAATAAGGTCACGCAGCATCAAAGGAACTATTAAGCAAATTTTCAGATGAATAGATAACCTGAAAATAACGGTTGAGCATTGGATCGGTAAGAAACGATACCTGGTCCATTGAATAATTATTTGATGACAACCAATTCTCAGATGAACAGTATTTTCTGTCATATTTGTTGTCTGTAAGAGAAATATGAATTTTTAGTCTTATAAATACGTTGAGCATAATAGAAATCACGATTTGTACTTGTACACAAATGTTCGTATAGATAAATTTAATTGTCAATGAATTCAGACCTACGACATTCTCCATCACCACATGGAAATGATCGTGTAATACGACAGCTACGTTCTTCACAAGGAAACGTTAGTATTCCTATGCAATCTAATTTACTCACATCACTAATCACTTGACTATTCATGCTAATTTCATCTTCATCGGTTTCATCTAAACAATCTTTACTGGTCCAGCTATCTCGAAAAAATACTAATGGTATACATTGAGCTCCATTATGAAATCGATATTCATCTTCTTTAGATTTATTCATTTCAATTTTATCACAATACTGCTCATCCATACCGAAACTATCTTCAATACAATCAATTATTTCATTACATATTTCACGCCTATCTAAACACATTGGTTCAGGACCACGATGACATTCAGATAAATGTGGATAAAAAGTATTTATTGTGAGTTTTTTATGATATTGTTTTCGATTATTAAATAAAGAAACTATAAAATCACCATATCATTCAATGAAAATACTCGAACCAAATGTATATTGACAATGAGAACCAAACCATGAAGTTGAACAATTGTAAAAACTAATGTCATCAAGTGTTGTATCATTTGTAATCAAATATATCGCATATTGTTCAATAATATCAATTGATATTGACCATTGAAGTAGATGGTCACTATTAATTCCTTGAGAACGTAAAGTTTTAAACATGACTACATTTTCTACATATCCTTGTATCAATGTTAAATTTTCACCAATAGAATCGTTTGATGATGGACGTAGACAATATGGAGTTAAATAATTTGTGCGAAGAAAAGTTTGATCTATTTGATTAGGATCATCAATGATATAAGTATAAAAACAATCAAAATTCATTTTGGAATTATCATTAGTATTATAAAGGAATGACATGTTTGATTCGATCATTATCATATTGAGTAACCGTATAAAAAATATCATCCGAAAATGCATTATAATGATTTCAAAATTATAATAACTGAATATGATTATTACACTGTTAAATGAGTTAATGATTTTCTGAAAGAAATATGAACTACTTTATTTTTCGTTTCAATGTTAAAGATCAATAGATCATCAATGAAAAAACATTGAATAAATTTAAAGATAATTTATAAATGAACGCTGGTATTTTCTATAGAAAATCTTTATACGTGTAAAAAGAATCTCAGAAAATGAAGTTTACTATAGAATTTACTAGTTTTATCACCAACATAAAATGAGGAAATGGACAATGCAAAATAATGGATATCGTTGAGTATGCTTATCTAGATAAAAGACTAAGTGATTTTCAAATAATTAAAGCAACTGGTTAGATAGAAAATGCATGATTTCTATAAGTAACACATCTGTCTTCTGTTTTATTTTAGAGAATGTCGAAACAACACTTTTTTGTACTCTACTATCACATAAAAAGGATTAACTGTTGTCTCATCGTACACAAAATGTTATCATAGTCGCCTTGTTTTTTTTGCATTGACAACTGGGTTTAATAGAGGATGAGAGTGCATTAGTCGGAAAACAGACCGAGCTATACATCTGCGATACAAGTCGATCTACTAGTCTTAACTTTTGCTTTTTAGCAATTGGTTTAATCAAAATAATTTGAAATGTAGATAATGTGCTTAATAATTTTAATGAATAAGAAATGGTGAGTTAATTTTGTTGGCATCTTTCTTACCTTTTACAACATAATTATCTCCAGGGCTAGAAACATGTAGATCCACAAAATTTGGTCCACGCGAAAAATAGTCGAGAAATTAATTAAGAAAAAAGAAAGAAGAATTCTCTAACAAGAGTGACAATAGTGTGAAAAATGAATTAATATTAGTATATGAGCTTTCGCTGATATTGTTAATATATTTGTCATAGTAATTACTTTATGCAAGTAAAGTGGATCCCAACCTCTCTCCAGAGAAGTTGGTTTTAAGCAGGAGAAAAAACGAAGACAAGACACGAGTGCAAGTGTTTGGATGGATCCTCTTGAATCCCATCGCACTCTAGAATTTATAGCAGTGCTGTCATTCACACCTGTACCCTCACCTGCTGTTACAGTGATGTCGCCTGTATACACATTCTCTATATTAGTGTTATCCTCTACGCTCTTTCGTCTCTTTTTGATCTTGTATTCGTGCTTTTCGTTCTTCTCAATATATATGTATTTTTCTATATCGTTAAAAAACAGTTGTTACTTTTCCTTACGAAATAAAGTGGTCCATGTACATCAAGGACATATGAATACATATATCTCTCTATCGAACCTCACATAGAGCGAAGAGAGAGCGTTAACAATTGGCGTCCCTGGCTAAACACCAACATTAAAACAAGAAAAAAAAAGACTAGAATTAATTATTATAATTGAATTATATTACTTAAACAAAATCATTATCAGAGCCTCTGCTGAAAAGAGACTCGAATAAAGATTTGTATCAAAGCCTCTTCATACAGAGACTTGAAATTCGTCTAATCTCAAACAATACATATAATAAAAAAAAAAAAGGAAAAAAAAAGATTTGAATTAGTATTGAAAGATTGAACTTTAAATTATGATATGCGTCTATAAAAGTCATGATTAATTCATAGGTGTGAAAATTGATTTCTTTGAACAAATTGATTGTATTAGAAATATCAGGAATACTTTTTCAGTAAACCGAAAATTTTTTTGATTATCAAAAAGCAAAAAACCATGATGAATTTTTCTGAAAATTAATTTAAACGAAAAGAGAAGAAACATAAAATCAAAATTACAGGTGCATAGATTGAGATAATTATAAATAGACATTCTGAAAAGAATTTCGATCATTAATTTTGTTATATTTTTTTTTTTTTGCATTTCATTCATTTAATTATTTCGTTTGATATCAATTATTTTCATTATAAACCAATCAAAACGGCTTCTGGAACAAGATCTCAAGTTAAGGAAAATAATAAACAATTATTGCCATATACCATTATTACTAACTCATTGTCTCGTTTATTATCAAAATCTCATTCTACTATAAATTTACCATCACATATAAATAAAAATAGAATGGCTGATCAAACATTATTAGCAAAAGCTCGAAAAGCTCGATTTGATGATTTACCAAATTTTTCCGAACATCCTCAGAAGGATGTCGAACGATTTTTAAAAAGTATCAAGAATATAACGAAAACTAATGATGAATCCGATAATCATGAAATTCTAGATATTGTTCGTGGTAAATTAACCCAATCAGCTGGGATATGGTTCGATAATAATGAAAATAAATTCAACAAGTGGGCAGATTTCGAAACTGCATTTCGAAATCGCTATTTTTCAACAACAATGATGCATAAAAAATTTGATACATTAAAACAACGAAAACAATTGTATGACGAACCGCTTACCTCCCCTAGAGAAAGTACTGAGTTCAGGGTACCCATGTACTGAGAAAGCTCTAGCAGGGTACCCAGTAGGGGTACTTTGAAAATTCTCAGTAATTTTACTGATGTATGTACTGTTT